TACTGACCAACAGGTGTGGCAGCTCTCTTTCCGGAGGTTGTTGGCAAAATGCCTTTGAGTTGCATCTGTAGCGACAGTTTCAGCCATGGCTACTAATTGGCAATTGTATTTACGGATCAAATTGACAAATGTATCCGATTTTTGGTGCAAACTGGTAGGATTGACTATACACACATTCATGTCCCAGGGTCCTGGGTTGTCCGCTTCCCCAATGCGAATTTTGGCATATGGTCTGGGTCTCCAGGCTGGTGGCGGCTGTACAATTTGCCAACACGAAAGCCAAGCAACTTCGGGCTTAGGCGCGAAATGGGCACTGCATGCATATGGTACTGCGATGCTTTGAGCACATATGGCATATGTGATCCCCTGGGCAAAGGATGCAAGATGGCAACAAAGAGGGCAGGCGAAACCAAACAAAGTGAAATCTTGCATACTCAGCGTGGCACCGTGGTAGAGTCACGGATTTGACATGTCAGCATCACTTCTCTCAGGCTCTTTGCGTTTGGCTGAGGCCATTTGGCCAATGAGGAGCTGCTTGATTTCTGATAGGTTCGTATCAAAGTGCTGCGACTGTGCCTGGAGTGCTGATGTGAATGACTGATCCAGTTCGGTTCGGAATGTATCCAGGCGTGCTTCAATATGCTGCTGCATGCTGAGCTCCCTTTGTTTTGTTTCAGTTTCCAAGCGGAGTTGGAAATCTTCTTGTGCTTGGTGCTGTGCGAGCTGATCCTGTTTCAGCTGTGTCAGTGTTTCTTCAATCTGTTGCATCCTCTGTTCATGCTGCTGAAACTTGTTGGCTGTGGGACCGGTGGCAGGCTTGTCAGCCACCATTGCTGCTGTGCCCACATAGTTTGCCCAAGGGTCAAGGGCTCTGGCTGTTGGTTGGCTGACATTCCGGCTGTTTTTCTGCAATGGCTTCGGTCCAGCCATTATTGGGCTGGAGCTGGCCTGATATCGTCCTGGCAGTTCTCTTACCAGGATGGGTGATCCATTAAAGGATAGGGCACTGCTGTTGGGAGGTGCATCTGCTCCAATGAGCCACCCTTTTGGCCCAAGGGCCCGATATGGCCGGATTTTCCAGCCTTGGTGCTCTGCCCACATTGCAATCATTTTGGCTGTTGTTCCAAACGGGAGGTTTTCCAGCTTGAAGGTTCGGGTGGCATTGATTTGCATGGGTTCATCAATGTTAGGATACAGCTGTTTCCAGGCATTGGAAAAATTGCATGCGGCTATGCGGATGGCATATCGGTTGTGGCTTCTGACAAGGCCCGAAGCACCCTGCACTTTGGCACTGGCTACAATGGCTTGCTGTTTGCTTTGTCCTGGTTCTAACCAAATCAATTTCCATTTTGGATTGATCTGCCCATTTTCGCTCTTTGGCGTGGCCCATAGGGAGTTGTGACCTGAACTGGAAAGAACCTGACCAATTTTGCTGTCACGGATTGTACAGTGCATCTGGATGGATGTGCAGTCATGGCAAGTGGCAGGTTGTTTTCCTTTCCGGAATGCTTTTCCCCAAATTGATACAATGGCATCTGGGTCATTGATGGTCTTCTTGATGTGAGCAATGGGGTTTTGGGCTATGGTATTCCAATCCTCCCCCCAATCTTCCTTCCACAGGGTGATTGCTGTCAAAGTCACTGAATCCCCATCAATGATATGGTCGTCAAGCTTCTTGGGTGTGATGGCCTTCTCCCCAAGTTGGATCAAAGTGCACGCAATGAGGACTGATTGACCATGTTCGTCCAGGAATGGCAATGTGACATGTGACTTATCTAGTGTTGTAACCAAGGGCGGTTCCCCAAACAGCACCAGTGCAATTTCATCTGTGGATATGGTTTCATTGGCACGAAGCCACGGCAGGGCAAAGTTGGCATCACACAGGTAAAAGCCAGAGTGTTGGCAATTGAACTCTTGGAGCTGCTGTGCTACTTGACCGTCTGACTTCAGTAGAAAACCTTCAGCAACTCTGTACATGTTCGGGCATGGCATGATGGCTGGCTTCTTCTTCTGTCTGGCTTGCATGGCTGCTTGGGACGTCTTTTGTGGCTGCACTTTTGGGATGTCAATAGCACACTGCTTCAGGATGGCAATGATGGCTTCCAATCGTTTTGGGCTCGGAGGCATGGCTGAAACTGGTGCAAGTTCTCTCATGCCTGTGGAGTTGAGGGCCTGTTCCACTGCATCTGATACCCATGTCAGGTCATATCCTTCTTGCAGGAGCGTGCTCGCAATAGAATTTTTCATTTGGAGCCTTGCATTTTGCTTGGATCCGGTCGGTGCACCGCCATGCATTTCCTGGGCTAGGTAGATCATGATGGCAGCTCTGTGTTCTGAAGGCTCGCAATCTTGGATCTTCTGTTCCGGCATGAGATGTTTGGCCTTGTGCAGGACCCTGTACCGTGCTGTACCTGAGAAGGTCATGGCAGCGGCTGTCATCATGTTTGACAATGCTTCTGCAGTCAAGTTTGGGACAACATGGCCGAACCAAAGTGGTCGACCCAGCCATTTGATCATCAATTTTGGGAAGCTGTCATCATTTTGATTCCCCATGATTGCACGGAAGGCAAGCACTGTAAGCAGGGTTCTGAGCTGGTCGCTGGGGACTGGGCATTTGTCATTCTTTGGAATGAAGCTGATAATGGTCTTGTGATCATGCTGTGTCACAATGCACTCCAGTCCTAGATCATCAGTGAGATTTGGCATCATCAGTGTCGTCCAAAAGGTGGTCAGCAACTTGCTTGGATCTTTCTGCCCTGTGATGTGTATCTGTGTCGTGTGGCTGGCTGGAATCCATGATGTGTGCATTTGGCAAAGTCTGGCGGCTGCAAAATAAAAAGGCATCATGTCCATCTGGATACCTGGTCGGATTTGGCATTGGTCTTGGATGATGGCAAACGGCTGCATGCTTGGGCTGTCTCCCAGTGCTGCAAACTGATCAAACAGTTTCATGGCTTCTTCTTGGCAGAGTATCTTGCGAGCGTGCTCATTGTTCTGCAAAATGGTAAGGCAACCCTGCTGGATGGCACAAATGATTTTTGGCTCGGATGCAGTTCCCTGTACACGGATGCAACTGATGGGACTATGTACATCGGATGCGGCTGTCAATACCAATGCAAACTCGGAAGGTGGTTCAGGGATTTGTTCCAAGCGGAAAGTTCCATCCCAAACTGACATGACATGTTCAAGGGGGACATCGGACCCAAACCAGAATTCCCAGGAGGATTCCCCATTGGTGCACAAACCTTTCAGAATAGGCGTAAAGGGAATGGTACATGAGCACTCCTCATCAGTACTTGAATCAACAACAGTGATGGGACTGTGGTCAATCATGGGTCTCATGTCTTGGTGGGTGCTGTCCCTGATCTCTGATCTTTCATCTCGGTTCTCCAAAAGGAAACCTTGCTTCGGATGCCAAACTGATCCTGGAGGCATCCTTTCATGTTCCAGCTGATCAAGAAACCCTTGAATGTGTGGCGTTCTGCAGTCCATGTCAAAATCAGGATTTGATGTGGCAAACAGGCCATGTGCATGTTCAATCAGGCGGATGGATTGGCTGGTCACACGGGTCTGTACAAACTGCAGTAGAAACTGGCCTACATCAATGGAGTGTGCTCTTGATGGCATCTGGTTCACGGCATTACACAGCATTAATAGGGCATTGCCTGTGGTGATTTGGTTGCCTAGATACCTGTAGGCTTGCGTCCAACACATCGGAATGGATAGATTACCCTGTGCAGCATGTAACATCCAAATCTCAGCCGGGTGCCAGAACCTTGCTGGTTCATCTCGGATCTTGACAAAATGGGTGAACAGCCCTTTTTGCCCCAGTAAAGTGGCATCGATGGCATGTTGGTTGGAGTATGATGCCATGAACGTGGGAACAATTTGGTGGCCATTGTTGCATCTGCTGTCAAAAACATCTTTGGGATTGGTCTTGATTCTTTTACTTGGTGGCAGTAGATCATGTCGTGAGCTCATGGTCTTGACTTCAATAGGGATATCCAACCTAGGGTCACTGCACATATCTGGGGAGAGAACTGCATCAAAAGACAGCGGCGTTTGTGTTCCAATTGGCAACCACATTTGGAAAGGTGATTTGATGATGCAAACATCAGTGATACGTGTGAACATGCCTAACCAGCGCACTCTGTGTGTTGGGCAAATTTGTTCCATGTCAACCAGTTTACCCCATGTAAAACTGTACCCAGCCCATCTCATCTGCTGCATGATCAAAGGCTTGTGTTGGTGTTGGTAGAAGCCACTGACTTGCTCAATAATGACAATTCTCGGGCGGATGAGTTTCACGGCTGTGAGACTCTCCAGGAATGTCTGTCCTTCAGGGCTGTTGATCCCTTTTTCATTGGCTGCAAATGACCATGGAGGACATGGTGGGGACAGACACATGACTTCCGGCGACCACTGACAGACTGCCTGCAACCAGTTATGTGATGCAACATCTCCATGAATGATGGCGGGCTTGGATGCATTCTGAACAGTGAAACGGTCAATTGGCACATATCCGTCAATAACCGTGGCATCATGGGTGATTGCATAATTCATTACAGCATGGATGTCAAACTCGATGGCTACAGTTTCAAAAACATTGCCTGTGTGTGAGGCAATGTAGGTGGCAGCACTGGCCCACCCTCCGAAACCCCCAGCAAACATCTCCAGGATCCTAACTGCACCTGTCTGACACTCCCTGAGTGGGATAGGGATAGAATTTTCATCTACAATGAAGTCAATCCCCATGGGGTGTACCACCGGGTCAAAGGCATGGATGATGAAGAACTTCTCAAAAGGCTTAGGTGATTCCCAACGTGCATCCCATAGGAGTGAAATCTCGTTCAGTACAGAATCTTCCTTTGGCATCATGAAATCACGCAATGACATGTCTGAGCTGATTCCCTCTGGAGAGAGTTGATTTCCAGCATAGAGATCATCATGTTGATGCACCAAATTGTCAACCAAAATAATGCTTCTGGGTTTCCAGTGACACCCCGGGCTCCCCATGATGTCAAATTCCAACAAAATGTCCCTCAGCATCTGTGACATGGCTCGTTTCAGCAACCAAGCAGTGGTTGACAGCACTACCTCGTGAAGGTGATTGAGCCTGAGTGCTATCTGAATTAAGGCCATTTGGGGATGATTCCCCTTACTAACTATGATTTCCAGTGAGGTCGTGAGGTCGTTATAATTTACCCAGATATATTAACCACATATCAACCATACTATGTGGTTATATAATGTTATATATGTTGATAGTTAATAAATAATATAAATATCTGGTTGATATGTGGTTCATATACTGTTAATTTCATGGGCCTCCCAGATTATCACCTGTGCTTATCGCCGATGGGCCTCTAATCTTCCGGATATTTTCGCATCACCAAAATTCAGGCACCGGTTGATTCACCGCGGAATGGCGATTCGGCACCAGCGGCACCAGGACCAATTGCCCCGGAGCCCAGGAGAATGGAAGGTTATCAGCTGGGTGGAGTGACGACATGGGAAATTTTCGGTAAGTGCTCATAGGATTTATGAGATTTCAATGGGTTTCATGGCAAAAAAATGTGGTTTAATGGGATTTGATATATTTTCAACATATTTTCAAACTAGCTCATATGATGACCCTGTAGGAAAGCGCTGCTTCTATATGAAGAGATATAAGAGATCCGTAGCGAAAATTATGCGATTCCAGACTCACACCTTGTGCAAAGGCTATTTCAGGATTAGTAGGTTCGAAACAACGCAGTAATCGTAAAACCCAATAATGAACCATCATGTTTACCAAGCGTCAGTAGGTCGTCTTACCTTATCCCGTTTCCGGGGCCATGTCCCATGTCATAAACCCCAACTTCCTAACTGCTTGATGATGGGTGGTTGACATGATGATGTGGTTGACATGATGGTGAGAATGCTAACCATGACAATCGTCCGTAACTCAGAAGTTTTCTAACTAAAATTCCTTTGACAATGTGATTAATGTGAGAAACCCACTAGCAAAAATCCTAATCTTATTTCGAATGGTTTATAGAATCCATAAAAATGGTGATGACTTGGGGATTGTCTATGATGTGCTTAATTAATTTTGCCCAGCAAGGAGGGTCTGAAAAAAAATGGATGACACCAAGTTATCAAATCATGCAACTGCTTGCTCCTGGTTGATAAGGGGAAGCCAATCGCCAGGGTTATATAGTAGATTTTTCGACAGTTGATCACTGCTACAGTCGCTCCAGCCATCCGGCGGGTGAGCTGGGTTTGGATCATTTCGTCCATTTGAGGTCCCGAGATCTGACAATTCCAGTACCCCCTGGTAAACTAACATAACTATTGAAAATGGCCATAGAAATAGTGGATTTACCCATTAAACATGGTGATTTTCCATAGCTATGTTAGTTTACCAGAGGGTAACTTTGCCCCAAAGCATCATCCAAACCTAGCTCGGCATCACTGTTCCAGTGAGATCCTTTGGATCTCGTTCCATGTCTCGTTCCTGGCTGCAAACAAAGCCCCAAGTGTTCGCAAACACCGACAGCGTCAACAGGGTCTGATTCACGGAGAGGAAACAAAAACCATAGCCATTCCCAAACACCAAGAAACACCTAGATAATCCTATAGATATTTATGTAATGAAATCATATCTATATACATTCCCAAACATTTTTTTCATGACATATGAATTTCAACTTTTCCGAAATGGTCTTGCAGAGGTCACCAAGAGACTTTTCCCATGACTTTTCGTCATGTCTCAACACCAACCTGCTATGGTTCAATATCCGTAATTTACGATCGATATCACCATGAACAAAAAACCGTCCAAGCGTCGCAAAATGACCGCAAAAGCCACGGCGATTCGGAGCCTTAGTGGCCGAAAAATCCATGGTGCCATCCAGCAATCCAGAGTCCACAGAGTCCGTGCTGAAAATTCCCGTGAGAGCCGATAGCCTCTGGCATTTTCCAAGGTACCTATGGAAAATCCTCATTTTTAGGTCAACCAAATCCTCATTCTTCTGTTGGTCTTTATCCCATGGTTACCCTCTGGTAAACATACAAAAAACGATGGAAAATCACCATGTTTCATGAGAAAATCCACTATAAATGGTCCATTTTTCAAGAGCTATGTTAAATTACCAGAGAGATCCAGTAGATAGTTTCCTCACCTTGATTGGAAGTGGACACTTTCCATAGGGTCCACACCAAGGATGGGGGGTTGTCAATGGGGAATACCATGAGATACGCCCAATGTGTTGCCAATGTCGATAGGGAACATATGTTTTTTGTTTTTGACATTGTGGGTTTTTTTGGGGGTCCAAGGTTCGAAACACATGCTTTAACTTCAAATAAGTACCAATATTGACCAAAATTCCGGTCCCAAATTTCACCAAACCCATAAAATGTCCTGTCGTTGTTACTAAACTGTGAACAATCATTTCCTGCTTTCCTGCAGCTTGAGAGCTGTCACATCGCCTCTTGCCCAAGTAGCAAACGCTCCATCTGTTCCTGCCTGCAGCTTCCGTGAAAAGCGGCATCAATTTCGGAATATCGCAGGTTATCCCATTCATGAATGGTTTGAATCCCTGGCCTTCACTTCAATATAATTCAATATCAACTCGGATGCACAACCAAAAATCGGATAGACATTGAGCCATGTGACCTATCTTCTAAAAACGCGACAATCTACAATCTACGCATGGACTACAAGAGGATACTGCAACTCTATAGACAACAGGTTTTGACTTCGAAAGGTCATGGGGGTCATTGGGGCATCATTTATCAGTAGCAGGGCTCTATAAGGATGGCTAGTGTATCATGGTGTGTGTGTGTACGTGGGACCCCAACAAGCATGAATTCAAGGAGGTTTTAACCTTTAAAAAAAATATTACCCATGCAATACATGGAGGAATAGGGTTTGCAGCTATGTATAAGTTCATCTAGATTGTATTTATACATAACTTCAGCTTGGAAATTCACGTGCAAATCTAAAAATGTATAAATACATGTATATAATACATAACATATATATATATAATAATATAATATAATATACATATATATATATGTGTGTGCACCCAATTCAAATGTATCCATTACAACAACGTTGCGCCTCTTAGGCAGAGGAGCAAGGCGCCTCGGACGCGCCAATTCCAGAGGCGATTCATTGGCGGATTCATGGCGTCATGAGTCAAAACCCAATGGATGGTTTTGGAAAATGGATGGTTACTTGATGGTTTATGATTATAGATAGTTAATGGAATGTTAATGTATGGTAAATAGATGGTTCATAGATGGTACATAGATGTACATAGATGGTAAATAGATGGCAAATAGATGGTTATACTAGTTGGTTAATGGATGGTTTATATGGTGATAGATAGTTGGATGATTGTTGCCCCAAAGGATGATCAGAATAAGTTCTGGAAAACTATTCCAAAAAGCTCCGAATGGCCGGCCATTCTGATACCCATAGTGATAACCACATGACAACAGTTGCGGATAGTGGATCATATGTATATATAAATATATTGATACTCAATTTGTGTACTGTTTTATATAATCTTTATATTAATGATGCCAGCAATCATTTCTGTTGTAGAATTTACTAGGATATATATATATATATCAATTATCATATCATATATATGTATCATACATATATTAAACACAAAAAACATCCAGAGTTAAACAACGATTATATATGATATTATTCGATATTTACATATATATATATACATATCATATGATAACTCTGGAACTAGCTGAGCGGATGGCAATATGCCAAGGGGCCAAGGAAGCCTCGGGATAGGGTCCTGGAGCGATGGGCTGTAGATGTTCCAACGGCGAACGTCTAATGATAGAAACATGATGTGCACATATACAACATATATATATATAGCATACTGTATGTATATAGTTTAATTCTCACCACCCCGTTAAACTTCTACATTCATTGAAGATCTTCAATAAGGGTTTAGTTCTGATGATGATTATGATGATGATGATGATGATGCGTTGCCTGTCGTCAGTGCGGGTCCGGGCAAAACCCAGGCATTTGCCGTATATATATATCTATATATGTATATGAAAAATTGTATATATATATATATTAAAAATAAATATATGAATATAAGTCTAAATAAATATATATAAATTGAAATGGCATATCATCACATATATTTAAACATTGCATGATATTATCAAGTAATGAAATGTTAAAAAAATGCAATAATATAATCATAGCCAATAAAATAATCATAATCATAATCATCATCGTCATCATCATCGCCATCGCCATCGCCATCACCATCACCATCAGCATCAGCATCATCAGCATCATCATCATCATCATATACATGAACAAAGTATTGTCATTGGAAAAAAGACACAAATACGTGAGATATATTACATGTGCATTTCCATGCCAGTATCTATGTATATACGAATCATATGTTCATACAATCTCCTTTTCACCTGTTGTGACCTGTGTATTCGCATTCCAGTATGCACATCATGCATATGTCAATGCCTATATACATGTCTCTCTCTATATCATGTATGTATTCTATATAGGGAACATGTCCAGCAACTGGCATAACATTGCGGACAAAGAAGGAACATGGGAGAATCCCCGACAACAATCAGAACAGGACTATTAGTAGTGTTGGCCTCTGCTTCGTAAACCACCCCTGGAGTTGCTGTTTGCACAAGTATGAGATTTTTGAAACTAAACACTATCATCTTTAAACATCTTTAAACTAAGAATTTCTAGATGCGGCACTTCAACTCCAGCTCTATGCTGTCAGAGATTCTGAGACCCTGCCATTGTTTCGGGGTGCCCTGCCCAACACTGCTGTGGTCCCGTCGGAGTCCTCGTGCTTTACCACGGGTCATCTCTGCTTCGATCCTGGGAGGCAACGGACGAAGAAAGCTCACATCATTGTTCTGGATTTAAACAGCACAGAAATAAAAAGGGGCCAATGTTCAAAGTGATTTATAATGATTTATCGCCTTTTTTGGGGGAAATCTCGATAGAATGGGTGTTTATTCATGTGGGAAACCAGCTGGACATGGGGATATCAATGGGATTTCGACTGCAAGCATAGCCCTTCGGATTGAGAAACTAAGACAAGCTTGACTCCGAACCAAAAAAAACGTGTAATAAATCAACATTGACACGTGTTGTATCCATCCGTGAAACCTGGGTGTTCTAATTTTGTCAAATTTATATCTAGTGTTTAATAGGCAGTCAACAAATCATCCAAGTATAGCAATGTTTAGCCAACGTCAGCTAACATCGCTTTGCCAATTTATATCAACTTATGCAATATTTGAGTACAGCGGAGCCTGTGGGAACTGGTACGATGACTCAGTTAACAACTCACTTCAACTATATGACATGGTCATTCAAATGTCATAGTGATATTGCGATGAAACAAGACTTTCAACTATGACAATTGAGTTGAAATGAGCATTGCCATAAGTTACCCTCCAGTAATTGACCGTCTCAAT